AGACTCACATGGGCTGGGGTGATGAAATCGAAACTTTCAACTGTCAGCCCTTTCTCCCGCAACACTTTAACCATCTTCTCCACATCCCTGTACCTGATCACCCTGTCTGCTCTGGAATAGAGGTACATCTGAGGCCAAGGCGCCGGGTGCTCTATCATGGCATCATAGTGGTTCCTGTGAAAGTACTTGGTCACAGGATACAAAACAATCCTGAGAAGGACAACGGCCACAGCAAACAGTGCCAGGAGGAAGTACTGCAGTAAAACATTGACTTTGGGCCCTAATGTAGTTTTGAGTGCTCTGAGGGCCCCTATAACGTTTTGACTGCCAGGGGCACTGTCCACAACCGTGCCCACCACACACAGAGTACTGAACTGCTTGTGACTGTGCAATAACTCAACCATGTACCGGTAAAGCATGAAGCCCCCATTGCTGAACACATGGAAGAAAACTGGGTTGTTCTCCACCTCGTAGTCAAACAAAAGTTCAAGTAATTTTTGCGCAGTGCTTCTTAGTTCTTTGTAGCCCAGTGATTCTGAAATAAAAACTGTCTTCAAAGGAGCTGTGTAGCGTAGAGTCACACATCCCTACCAAGAAAAGAGAAGCGATCATAAGTACACTATACATGGCTGTAACTATGGTCCACCTTTACATACCATTGGATTTTCTTTTATTAAAATAATCAGATTTCATTTGTTTTTCTTTTTGTTTTGATTTATTTGATTTAAGGTCACATTAAAACTTGACTTTTATGTACAGATTTTATTGTCTTAAGGCCTGTGCACAAGCATGCAAACCATAGTGATAAGTAAAACGAGTCCACACGAACAGATGATAATGTTCTGTTCATTATAAGCGTGCACTGCAGTTACGTCATCTGCTGCTTTAAATGCTCATAATCTTTAAACTTGGGTGGATTCTGATTGGCTGTCAATGATTTTACTATTCATCAGCTGGAAAAAAATGTAAAATTGTAAAAAAAAAAAAATAATAATAATAATAAAATTTGTTTCGTTTCATATTGTTCCTCTGTGTCGTTATCATTATAGCTGTGATGTGGACCTATTCTCATAGAATTAATGATTATTAAAACTTTTTATAGTTGTAGCATTACTAAATAATATTAAAATTAATACTAAACCGATGATGATCCAAGAGTGAAATATTAAATTACTATTTTTTGTGTGTGAAAAAAATTAAACACCAAATCTTTCTCAAAAGTTATAATGCTCAATATGAAACACGAGACATATGATATATTAGCAATATCACTCGAGTACGAGAGCGATACCGGCTCTATATCAGCATGGCTGTGAATAGGCCAGAGGCACGAGGCCGCATGATTTAACTTACAAAAAATATGAGATGTTGTGAAAAGCAGACTTTAATGGAAACTTTGTAAAAAAAATAAAAAATGTTAATTAATTAAACACCAAGTACAGACTATCCCACAATTCTGCTTCTAATAAAGTTCTCAAAAGTTATTAAAGTAACGCTCGATATGAAACATGAGACATATGTTTGAATAACACACATATACATTATATATATATATATATATATATACATATATATATATATATATATATAGTGCATCACTAACATGAGAGATATATGTTTATAACACACATATACATTATATATATATATATATATATATATATATATATATATATATATATAGTGCATCATTTCCAATGTAGTTGTGAAAAAAATGTTTCTTTGTTGGTATGTGGTATACATTAAATATTATTGAAATATTGTTGTGACAAGCACACTGTAATAGAAACGTTCACGACTTTCTGGAAAAAAATAAACATACACAAAAATGACAGAATTCCTCTGTGGTGCATATTTGAAGAAAAATTAAACATACTAGTGAGAGTGTGCGCTTAAGATTTTCTAAAAATCCACATGACCAACAGCGACCATGATTGAAGAAACAACAATATGTGTATGTTTTCAAGGCATAGGAAAATGTCTCACCTGTTCATTATAAATAGAGCTGTATTTGGCGAGATGTTTGTCTCTGCTGCCCGCCCAGCCTAGCAGAATAACGACTGGCTCCTTTGATCCCCGCCAGTGCTTCTCTGTCAAGATAGAAATAATGTGTCCAAACTACACGGATCCAATGATACGACCTATTCCTATTAAAGCTTTCCAATTTAACATCTCTAAATTAAGGTTTAAACACAGCTTCCAGGATTCCATTCATTTGCTCTAAATATACTGAGCATATGCGCAAGGAATTAGGCAACAGGGCAGCCCAGAGCTGCTGTCAGCCTCAGAGCAGCACTTACCTGAGATCAGTGCCTCTGGAAAAACTATGTTGTAATCTATACCATCATCCCCCATGTCGACGGTTATTTTCCCAATCGTCTGTCTGCCATTAACAACTGACTTCAAATGAGCGTCGCGTTACAGTGCTCTCGTGATGCTGAGAGGACAGTCACAGACAGGGGCGATACACGAGTGAAGCAGGCAACATCAGCGTGCCTTTGTTTCATACAACATCCGGGTCACGATTCACAAGCAACAGACAAATTCAAAATAAAGGTACTTTCAAACAAAAAGCAAAACTTTTTACTAAAAGATTAATAATTGTTAATGAAAATCAAACGATTCAAAAATATTTATGCTGTTTAAAATAAAAAATGACGACTTATCATTGTTAAATATAAAGTGCAATTTCTGGAAATCTACTACAATGAAATTCATACATTTGAAGTATTTTAATTCTCAAATACTTTAGAGCCACTGTAAGTGTATATACAAAGAAAGAGAATAAGAAATTATTGTGGTCCAAGTTGTGTATATGAGACAAAATTAATGTATCTCCAGTACTAAACCATTTTTAAACATGTATAAATCACAGACAAGCTCAAATTACTTTTTTACAATTTACTTAGTTTTTTTGTTTTGTTTCCTTGCTAAACTAAATGTGACCTCATATTCACTTTAAATGTGAGGTTAAAACTTTTGGTAAATAACCTTTATTGTCTGTATGAGAACTGTTAACATTTTGGACCCCGGGTATAAAACATAAAAAAGCACTACATTTTTCTGGATTTGTTTTATTGCGACACTTAGACAACAATTAGAAATACAATGAATGTTAGACATAAACAGGATTACTTAAGATATTTGTATATGCTGTTTTTTAAATTAAAATTATGCCAAACATCATTTAGATACATTTGCTCAACTATTCAAATCCACGCCAGAATATTCTCAGATTAAACCAGAAAAAAAACTAGATGGTTATTATTAAGGTTTTAATTAAAAGAAAAAAATGAACAATAGCTTACATTTTCTGAAAGAAATCATTTAAATTAATAAATGCATTTGCTAAATTCACACAAACCTGAAAATCGTTAAAAACAAAGTTCACAAAATTAACAAGACAGAGGCTTGCAGAGTAAAAAAGGACATATAAATAAG